GCCAACCACAACGGCTTTTAGGCAACCGCATTTCCCAGTTAAAAATTGCTTTACCAAGCATATCTCTTTTGCAGAACTATTTCCAACAAGTAACTTCTGTTGCGAGTCTATTAAGACTTATTTACAAGGTCGAATAGTTTCGTGTCCTCGGAAATGCAGACCAGTACGCAGAGTTTTGCGACGAAATGATCAAATAATTATCGGCGAGCTCAGTTGGAAAACAGACTTAGTCAGCAGTAGGCGAATAAAAGTTGCATATACCAATGATGATTTTGCGCCCCAAGAGGCGGTGTCTCTGTCGTCAACGACGTCCAATAGCAGAAATACATCGACGGGAACAGGGCTTGTTACCATAGTATCCAGCTTATCGAAAGCGATTCGATTACACTGACAAGTGCAATAACCTTATCACTTTGTCCAGGCAGTACATCATTTTCCTAAAACCCACATGCTCGCTATGAAAAATAACGGAACTTTTAAGAACACAAAAGAGAACAACATACTGGAACCCAAGTATATTTCATCTATTTTAACTAGTACACCGGCGCAACAATGCACATATCATTGTTATTTTTTTGCTTCTGCTGCATGTAAACCTTATCAATTCGGTCGTGTATAAAAATGGAATTCTGCGTATCAATTTGAAATACAGACACTAAATTTTCCAGCCGTTACTCAAGCACCCCAATAGCCACCTGCTACCAAACCTGTCTTTAATTTCGGCACCGCTGGAAGGAAAATGTAGGGAGTCTGTAAGCTCCATACGCATTGGTGTTCTCCTAGTAGCTGTGTCAGTTGTGGTTCACACCACTACATGGTCCCGTTTGTTAGCGTAAGAACATTGCCTCGCAGAACGTTAAGTGGCTTAAGATAATAGTCACATAGATCAAAGGGCTTCTTATAGTCCATGTTCATGGAGAGAAATGCAACCTTCTGGAAATTTCTATGGTCTACCTAAGTTCGTTGTTTACAGTTCTAAACACATGGGTGATCCGCACAAAATTTCAAACCACATGTTGAAATGGTTTGCTTCAATCACAAGAGCCACAAGCGTATACGATCAGGTTTGCGTCGCTTAGCTAATGACTTCACGTGCAGTTTAAAAAATGCTTGCTAGTTTCTTCAATAGTGCGCAATACCATGCATCCGGTATCAAGAATACCCACATCCGTATCTGCCATCATACCCCCAAACCGAACCCACCGCCTGCTATCTTGTGCTATGGGTCATTTATTGAAGACTCAAAATGGGGCCGGTGGACTTCAGTCGTTGCAGGTTTTAAAAGACCAAGTGGACCCTATGCACTTGCGGATTATCATTTTCGGCGAGTTTGTCAACAGTTGCAAGAATCGACCACCGCTTTCGACGGGCATTTTTTAACCGTGGTGAATAGTGCTTATTGAATCCAGCTCTAAAGTAACGATCTAAATAATCATGTAAGAGATATGCGAATCCCTCAGACCCACTCATTTAACAATGATCAGACGTACAGTAAACAGGAAAATTACCCCAGATTATATACATTAACCAATCGCAACTCGATCAAAGAAGTACAATAGATCCAGTTGCCAAAACTCTAATCGCAGTAAAAGACCTTCTGAAGAAATGCAGTGAGAATGTAAGCGGTCAAACAACTAAAGCTTCGTACAAAAAGGAGCTAGGAAATTTTGATCTCACAATTGAATAAGTTGTCACCTGATAGAAGCTAAAAATGTGCCTGATTTTCCTACTTCCCCATTAATATGGAAGGCAACAAGGCTCTCAACAAAGAAAGGAGTAGCGTCGGACCACACAAATGTGGCGCTTATCCTCATGCTCTTTGTTATGCTATCAAGCTAGTTTCCTAGCGGTCATCAGTGCAAGGTAACCTGACTTCTCGCAATAGATCGCCTAACCTAATACTGTGTGTAACTCGAAGAAGACAACTTTACGGCTATCCTCGTTACTTCAACGTTAGGCGCAAAAGTAGATCAAAGAAAGCGTACTCGAGCTCAGCGCCTTTTATCATAGTGCCGATAAACAGGGATGTGAAATCGACAGTATAGTTATCATATTATAAAGTAAATAATTGCCGAAAGTTGAAGAAATTGTTGCAAAGGAAATCAGTTTAATAGCTTATACTCTTGGCGCAGCAAAACCATGGAAGTGTAACGTGCACGAGGGATGGGGTGGAATTACAAAATTGACACACTCGTCAACAATATGCTGCCTGAGAAGGACTTGTCAAAATTAATTTGTTCATAATAGCTAAAAAGCGTGCAGCGATGGATGATAACTATATATGCAACCGCGGGCAGAGATAAAGCAGAAGGGACTTAGTAAATTTAACGCTTACAATTGTGCCATACACATCATCGTTGGCAAATCATGGCGCATGATTAGTTTTAAAAAATGTATCATAATGATTCTGTAGTTTCCAGAAGTTGAATTGTAGTGCATTTCGGAAACAACATTGGCCGAATGAAGCAACCAGACATTGTTGTCAGTTGTCATAAAAGCACTTTACTCATTTCGCTCCCGGTGATGCTGTCCACAACTTTACAGTTCAGAAGCTACGTTAAACAAAATGCATTTTGACCGCTCTAATGTCGCTTAGTTACTTATAACACTGGACAAAATAATTAGGGTTTTGGACTAGTATTCAAAAACTTCAAATGTTTAAACACCACTATCAGCAATAGCACTGTTGGATAGATAGCAATGTGCCACGTTTCTTGCGAAGAATTAGACGTTCTACACAGTTTAATAAAAAGAGATCCGATCTATCACTGAGTTCTGATCCAAAGAAGGCCCTAGCCTAACATCTGGAAAATAGAGGATTGAGACTAGGTTTGCAAGAACATGCCTAGCTTCCAGATAGTGAACACAGGAAATTCCTGGTATGCTAACTAAGTAAATACTAAGGGATATTGGGATGAGATGAAATCCTTTACCAGTTTTCAGACGCACAGTAATGCAACCAAAAAATGAGACAAAATTAGCATAATGTTTGGCCAACCACCATATCAGTTCGCTAAAAACAACCAGAATCTTCTGATTGTAGGTGATGGAATATTAGTACAAACAACATAGCGTTGAAAGGATGGGGTTGTGTAGTCTGTAAGACGGGACAAATCCCCTGACCTTCAGTAACCTTACCTATACACAATAGCAAGTGTTCGCTAGTATATAAAAGCCATTTAAACCATCATACAATATCGCATTAAATAAATAAATATACGTTTATTCTCGACGGTGCAAGATACAACTATCAAAGCGGGACCATTTATCACAACGTACATGAGTTCATATGTAAGCATGCAATAACAAATGTGCATGCTCAACTGGGCGTCATAAAAAGTATGGTAAACGCAAAAACTAGATATACGGTGGAAATGATTGAAAGGTTTGGAAGCCCAAAAATAAAGCTAAACAAAGTGACGAACTCAAGGATATATGTATCAAAACAAACCTGAAGAACTGCAACTTGATTTTAAAGCGCATATAAATTAACTGGGTTCTGAAAGGGTTTATATTATTTTACTACAGTAACTATAGGAGTTAAAATGACGGTACAATGCGGTCAGTTATTGATATTCGAGTAAAATGTTTGACTATGATTGTTATGCTTCAAGTGCTACGACACATGCGTGGACTAACATAAAATTTCTCATAACCTGGCTTAGATTCTAGGTATATATATACACAAAACATAAATCGGCCTTCAACTAAACAAGGATACGCGTAGAAACTCAGGAAAAAAGAATATACAACGCTACCTAGTAAAGCATAGCAATAATGATCGAAAGGTTAAAAAGGTCGACGACCTTTGGGTGAGAAGAGGCAATCTGAGTGCTGTACTGATGTATTGCAAAGAAATTCATCGTTTTGCATAAAAATGTAGGTTAATCGAGAGAGAGGGCTGATATACGATGCGAACAAAAGTTTAAACATTAAAATCGGATTGCCCAATGGTACTAATATTTTCAACTTATAAAGCTAAAATCCAAAAAGAATGTAGTTGTTTGCTACTATATTGCGACAGCGTGCGGCAATCTCAGCTTTTAAAGTCTTTCAAACTTGGTCGCAGAAGTTTGATAATAATATTTTAAGTGCTACATACTAATGAATCATATATACCATGAATCATGGTGCATTCGTTTGCAAGAGAATTAAATCACCGAAGGATAACACGCTTCCACTTGGTGGAATGCAAAGCGACGTATTAAAAGCAAAATAAACACGCAAAATTAAAATAAGGAGAAGAACCAAAACTTTATCCTGCACGCTATTTAATGTCAATTAAACGAAAAATAAATGTCAATACACGAGCATAAAAAGCAATCAAGTCCATTTCGCAAAAAGCGAACGTTTGAATTCCACATAGAAATAACAGCATGTGAAATTACGCATTAATACGCAGTGATTACACAGATAATTGGCAAAGGTAATGCAGTAACGTCAATTAACCCAGCCTCAAAATCCCTTAAAACTAGAAAATAAATATGGTACCCCGCCATTTGTCGGCAAATTGTCAATAAAAAATCTGGTGCAAAAGCGTGGCCACCAAATATGACCTGACAGCGATGTACAGAAGGAACAATGGATTCTTGACATCGCAAATATCTTGCCTTAATATAGTATATAAACGAACTATACGCTAGTGATATAAGAGTACAATCACAATGCTGAAACTGCGTTTGGCGGCAGGGATAACTGAAAAATAGACGTGTGTATCCAAAATGTCAAATGTAACCACAAATAGCTGACGCAAACGGAAAAGTCATCATACATATACGTATTATTTAACAAAACTTTAGTGGAAAGACGGTAGGAACCATTAGCAGTTCTACCTGTATGTTTAATCATTACCGCTATGGATAAAGTTTTGGTCATTGTACGGTAAACCAGGATTTATATAAAAATATTAACAAAACTTAATGCATTTGAAGGATATAGAGTGGTAGACAAACCAAGCTGCAACTATAATAAAACGCGCAATATGACAAACGATAGACAACCGTTTTTGAATTTCGGCTTTGCGTAAAACCTTGAACTCAGTGCTGTAAAACACTTGTTTACTACTGCCAGGAAAACTAGCCACTGCTAAAGGGCCAACCACATTTTAAATACTAATAACCTTTATTATACAGTATAGTTATAAAATTTCGGTACATATTGTAGATCATCTAATTGACTTGCTGTAATGCGACTTCAATATTAGCCTTCCGAATAATGCTTTCAGGCAAAACAAATATGCTTACTTGTCTATATGATCCATACAGCATAGAATATAATCCGGAACGAGAAGACGAAAATAGACAGTCACAGACGTTAACACAATGCCGCGTCCATGTGTTCTCTTAGAATTAAACAGCATGCGGCAAACGATGAGCACAAGGAAAAGACTCTAAAGTTAATACATAATAAATAAATAAATAAATAAATTTTTATTCTCGACAATGCGAGGCACACCTTTACAGGCATGATCATATTTAGCGAACATAGTGTGATCAAATTGTACAAAAGGACATGTTGGGCATAACAGTGTATGTAAGTATATGGGTGTATATACGTATGTAATTGTGTAGGAATGTAGCTTATGGTTTTGAATGCGCCGCAGAATGTTTTACTGTTTGTTATCGTCAGAAATGTGAGAGTAAGCGATCGATTTTCGTGGGTTGGATAGCATTTTCCGAATATCAACGGGCCAGTGACTTTAGTTTGTGGCGAGTCACATCCGCCACGTCGCAGTGTTGTTAAGCAGACATTTGTGGCTTTTTATAGGGAGAAAGCTTGCCAGGCGAAAACCCACCACGTCCTGGAACACTGCCGCCGAACTATTTGCTGGAACGGGTTAAAGCCGAACCACCCAGCTGGCACCACGAGGAGGTTGTTCGGCTAGCCAGCAATGTGCTTGTGTTATTAATCAGATGCAGGGTTTTCAGGGCTTACGTGTCCAGGTCTTTCGGGGCCAGAACTAAACTGAAATGGCCTAAAGGTAACTAGAAAGCTTCATCCAAATGTCATTGCCAGCCAACGATTCTCTCCCCTCTAGTGCCATTATCAATTATCCGTATTACCTTCATTATCACTTTTCAGCTGCATCGCATTACTGTAGGTAGCACACATCTTTGCGCTAGAAGCCACTCCTTATCTCTCCAACTCTTACTCTCTAGCATTGTTTGCAGCACGTACCCTCGCTGGTTTGTTGACTTATTCTGTCACTGTAGGTATCCACCAGTAATTAGAAGGCTTAATCCGAATTCCGTTGCTGGCCACCGATGCTCTCTCTCAGCGCCACTATCCATCGCTCTGTTTAGCTTCTTCACCTATTTGCAGCGATCGGTCGTAGGCTCTATGCACCCCTGCGTAGGTCTGGAGCTCGTTAAGATACACTCATTGTCTCTCTATAATATTGACTTTTGGAATGGTTTTATCAGTTACCTTCGCTGGCCTGTTGATGCATCCTGTGACCCTGTAGGCATACACTAGTGACCAAGCGTCTTCTGGCCACTGATAGGCTTTCCTAGCGCCACCATTTGTCGATCGTCGTAACTTCGGCACCTATGTTTAGAAGCAGCTAGTGGTCGTAGGCTCTATGCATCTGCGCTTATCCAGAGCTTGTTAGGAGTCAGTCCTAATCTCAATAACCTTTATTCTCTTGGAATTTTTGCATCCAATCTTTCCGCTGCCCTACCCCCAACTGACCTTTAGATCTCTCTCGTGGAAAACTATTTATTTGTTTAACTTTCTCATGCTGCGCTCCCTATTGTATTAGGCTGGCTACGTGCTGTTTATTCACCATTCAGTCACCACCAGTCTTCTAACTGTCTTTCCTCTCGCCCCGCGTAATGTTTTTCTTATACTAAACTGATACTTTGTGGATTATATACTGGTACAACGCTCCTGTCTCTACACAGTCGTTCGCGATCTACCCATACGGCTATTGGTTCTATAGGACATGCAAAAGGCACTTTCAGCATAATCAGCGTTGCACAGTGTACATGATTTTGTCTTAACTCCAAAGGTTATAACAAAAGACTTTAACAAATTTTAATTTCTGTTCTGGCGGTATTTTCTCGGCTGTCCCTCCCTTGCCCTTTTCTCCGAGGTCCGGAATGTCTTGGAGATCTGGGAGTGGACTGAGGAACAGTTTTCACCCAAGGCGGACGTACTAACCATCAAGGACCCACGTGGAGCTTGGCTGTATACCAAAGGGACTCAACTGCACTCACCACCACAACCGCTGTCCAGTATAGATAGCTGAACACGTCTTCAAACTCCCTAAAATCCTACATCCGAAAAATCCAGACAGCAGAACGTTTGAAACTTTGTTCACTTGTACACCCAACAAGAGGACTATTCGGGATGTTCCCATCCTCCTCCGACCTCAACAAGTAGGGCGGCCCTGCTCAAGCAATTTGCCAAGCCAACTGAGGAAATTTGAAGCCATTTGACTGCGAATAGCCGTGTATGCAATCAGTCGGCAGGCGGTTTTGCCATTTATACCTTAGGGTTCAAAATGCTCTATGGCAGTGTTGCAGGACGTAGTGGGTTTTCGCCTGGCAAGCGTTCTCCCTATGAAAAGCCACAAATGTCTGTTTAACAACACCGTGACGTGGCGTATGTGACTCGCCACTGAATAAAGTCACTGCCCAAAGCTACATACTGGCAAGTCGACTAGTCATATTTCAACATTTTCCCGACACGTACAAGAATATGATACTCTCCGACTACATGTACCATGTCACAGCACTTATAGTGCCTTGGCCGTTCGCACTACACACAGTTGAACCCAAACTACCGTTGTGAGACTCAACTGCCTGTAAACCTTGAGCATGCCTGATTTATTGTGTCTCTATACGTTTGAGAATAAAATAATTATTAATTTATTTGGTAGGCGGCTGGATATTTTCGTCATCACTACCTACTAAGAGTCGGTTAACTAGAAGGCGTTCGCGACCCACGAGCCAGAAAATAGCAATGACTGCTTTAGCGATACCGAAGACGAACTGAGAAAGAAACAAAGCCAAATTAACGTTGCCTACTGGGAAAGGATCGACGACACCTGTAGCCACAAAAAGCTAACTACCCCAGTTTATGTAAAATTTCATTGCTGACCAGTTGTACATTATTCATTCCTGTTTGCATGTTTCTTACACCCGCCCTCTACTTCGTCTGATCTGGAAATTGTCGTGCTGACGTATGCACCTGGTTCTCTTCAGCAGTCCACGTCTTTCTTAGACATTCAAATATATTCCGCTGTGTCCAACTTCAAATTGCCTAGTGATATCCGCGCTTGATTACGAGAAGTAGTCTTCGAGCAGCTTTTATTAGTCCTACAACTTAACGGCCAGGACTCGCACTCGCGAATTTAAAACATATCCAAGTTTTGTATTTTCCTTGCGTTCGTTCATCGTTCGCTATTGGAAGCGCGTATTTATTAGTGCATTGCAAACGTTTAAATATTTATAATACTTTTGTTCATCTTTGCCCTATATGCACCACGCGAAACTGGCACCTGAGTCACTTCGCTGCAAGAAAAGCTAACTTTCGTTGTTCCAATTTTCAAGGAACACAGCCCAGATATTTGGTTTCCCACATTCGAGCTCGAGCACGAATACTTGGGCATCCTGCTGGACAGTTCGAGGTAAAATCAGCTTGTCCTGCGCCTTCCTTCGTCTGTTATGACGCTGTTTCAGGACAGTCTGCTTCTCCCATCGGTGGACACAAAGTACGAAACGAGGAACATGCAACTACAAAGGAGGTACAGTCCAGTGCAGGGCACGCATTTAACAGCCAAATCGCTTTAAGCTGTGAGGTCTCAAACCGTGTAACATGCTCCCAGAATGAGAAAATTATGCTAGTTCTCAGCATGATATTAGCAGTGAAATGTTCGAAGCAGCATGTGCCAGGGTCAGAAGCTGACAAGGTTTAGCTACCATTCAAAGCTGCTCGTCTCTGCACACACCGAGTACCTCCAGTTCGGCCCGAAAGAGCAACATTTTCTCCAACATTTTTAGTCCGGTATTGCCAAACCCGTCCAAACATTAAATAAATAAATAGTTTTATGCTAGATGAAACGATACGCCCCAGTATAGGCATGTTCACGTGCTTGTCAGAGCCACGGGGATAAGTGTGCGTATGCACTCCATACGACAGAGGTAAGCGTCCGCAAAATAAGCGATTGCATACATGGTACGTGGCTGTCTTAGAGGAAACCCGCCAGGCTAATGGGCGTGTTCATTGGAATCAGGTGGCTCTGTGGCCTAGAAGCACGGTAAAATCTGAGTGTTTGCGTTATAGAAAGGCTTAGTGGGGTTTCCAATAGTTCAGGAGATTGATCTCTATTCCTCTGTGGGCTTAGGAACCCGATAGAAGGTTTGAGAAACACTGTATGAGGAATTGGTGGGGTTTGGTTCATATGACGTTTTGTACACAGTGTTCAGTTCTTAGGAGCTTTTCAGTGCATAGCCGAGACTTTATTTTGGTGTAGAGTCCCCTCCGCCAAGTCACAGCTTTGTTAACCAGACATATGTGGCTTTTATATGGCGAAGGCTTGCCAGGCGAACCTCCACCATGCCCTGAAGCACTGCCGTTGACCACAAGTTGAGTAGCAATGCGCCACTAGCAACGTCACGTTACGATCGGTGTTCCGCGGGGCTAATCGCAATCATGCTGCACCCATTTTTCCATTGGCTGTGCGAAAGGCCTGGACAGAATAAACCATTAGCGGTTGGAACTGGCGCTACTGGTGGAAATAGGGCTATGTAGATTGGGATGTATTGTTGTGTAGGTGAGCAAGAACCTTAGTGTAATGTGGGTCGTATATTTGATATGCATTATAATTGTCCTAGCAGAAAACTCACGGGCCGGTAGGGTTTCCCTGACAGGTCCAAGAGGAAGGACCAGGTAAATAGAACGCTTTCTGAGAGATAAAGCGTGTTGTGCGATGTTTTAGACAAAAAAGGATTTCGTTCCAATAGTTCAGGTCAGTCGAAAACAACCAGTGAGGGCTTTCGGTAGTATCCGGATTGGCT